TTATCGTGCTCGCCATTTCCTTACTTCTGATTCCATTCTCTACCTCTACAAATCTCTTATTCGTCCCTGTATGGAATACTGTTGTCATATTTGGGCTCGTTCTTCTAACGATTCACTTTCTCTTCTTGACAAGGTCCAAAAACGCATTGTAAATGTTGGTGGACCTGGACTATCTGCTAAGCTTGAACCTCTTTCCCATCGTCGTAAAGTTGCATCTCTTTCTCTTTTCTACAGATACTATCATGGTCATTGCTCAAAGGAGTTATCATCTCTAGTTCCATCAACTAAAATTCATTCTCGTTTTACTCGTCATTCAGCTAAGTCTCATTCGTTTACTGTATCTGTCCCTGCATGCTCTAAAAACTTTTATTCATCTAGTTTTTTCCCCCGCACTTCAATCCTTTAAAACTCTCTCCCATCTTCATGTTTTCCTGAATCATACAGCCTTCAACTTTTCAAGTCTTCTGTCAACCGTTTCCTTGCTCAATAACTCTGTTCTTTTTTTTTTTCCTAGTAACTCCCAACTTAATAGTGGTTACTTGCAGCCTTGTTGAGAGTGAATGCAAATAAAAAAAAAAAAAAAATATTTCTAAAAGGTACGCACTAAGAACAATTACTGGTAGGATAGGGTACATGACAAAAATTTTTCGGAACGAAAAAATCCTGAGGCCATTTTGATGCGCTGAACCCGATTATCGGCGAAGTTTTGGCCTATTTATACTCCTTTTTCGGTATTGCGACTATTGTTTCAAAACTTCCTTCCAAAATTGCCATTTTTCATAACGGATTATTTTCCCCTCTAAAACATGCCTAACAATTTGTCATTTGTGATGTTTTCCAGGCTGGGGAATTCAAAAAACACACTTAGATCTGTCTTCATACCCATCACACCGTATCAGTCAAGGTTTAATGAGTTATATAAAAAAACATGTTTTTTTTTTCTTGTTTTTTGAGGAACTGCCCCGTTTTCTTCTGAATGTATCTTCTCATCAAGTGAGCCGTGCGACAAGTCGCGTAAGCTTATACAGCACACATGAAAACCGCGTCCGAAGTAGAATAAAACAATGGCTATTGCTCCAGAAACCATCATATCAAAAACATGCGCTACAATTGATTCAACAAACACAGTAAATAAAAGAAGCAATTGAGTTGTAAAATGCCTCTTTGATGAAGTTTACAGCGAACAGGAAAAATTCATCGCTCGGCCTAAATTCCATACTTGAGCCAACATACTGGGTCGAATGCTTTACCTGTGCACCACGAATCCAGTGCAGTAGACTTTGTTTCAAGAAGCTGTCAGTAAAACTGTAGCAGCCAAATTTGATAAAGATTGGATTGCGACAAACGTTTATTTTTTTAATTTTGCGAAGAAGTTTCACACTGACTATCAGAGATTCATCAAATTACGAACCGTTCTCCTAAATGAGCAATAAGTGTCAACTCAAATTCCAAAGAAACCACAATAAGCTTGTGATAGTTTATGACTCTTGGATTCAAAAAATATAAAAAATCAAATCATCCTATTTTGTCCGAGAAAGAAAATCACTTTGGAAAATTTTTATTTTGCACATATTCATGAAATGACAGCATTCTCGAGGTTTTACATTTTAACAGCATATCTTAACATTTAAAAAACTCTTTGAAAATAATAAAACTTACTTAATATAATAAAGAAACAAAGAATATGAAAATGTTATAGATTTTATGTTTCAAAACTGGTAGTAATCCAAATAGGTAAAAGCTCACTTGGGTAAAATATTGCTTTTCTGAAAGTTTTTTCTAATAAGTTATCTCAAGAATAATTTCAATAATAGTTTTTTTTAACTTTTACTTTTTAAATAATATTGGTATTTTAAAATTATTATTGACAATTTACCAAAAAATTCCGGGAAAAGGCAGTTAAAAAATATTTTTAAGAATTTACCAAAAAAAATTGCGGCAAAAGGCAGTTTAGTACAAATCAAAGCTTTGAAGGTCGATTTTTTAACCTTTTCTCCTGAAATAAATTGAAAATGCCTAATCATGTAAGAAGTCATGATGAGAACAGAAAAGTTGTTTGTATCATGTGTCTTAGAAAAGAAAATCGTGAATTGACACCATTTTTGGTCAGCAAAATTTAAAACAACTACAAAAAGCAGTTCAACTTTGATGATCCAAGAATTCCTCAAGGTATTTTGTGATCCGTGTAGACTGGCCCTTGGAAAGTGTAATCAAGGGCAGAAGGTTGTTTTGCCCAAGCTGTTTCAATTCGAAACCATTGATATAAAAGTTCACACACGTGGTCACGTGATACCAGTAGCAAGATTGATCTCGATTATCTTGACCTGACCTGGTAGTCAAAATATTAGAAAAAAAGTTAATTATAAATGCACAGGGTAAGCAAAATTCAGAAAAATAGCATTTTGTTTCTAAAGCAGAAAAAAGAAAATGTTTTAGTTTTGGTGATATTAGTCACAGTGATAAATGTGCTTGTATCTACACTCGAGTACAAAGTAAAAAACTGTTTGAAAGGGTTCATAATCACATTGGTGGTAAAACTTAAAAGATATACAAAGTAGACACAAAAACTGCTTGACAACGGCAAAACATTTAGATTTAAAATATCAGAATACCAAACATTTTAAATACCTAGATACCTATTATTTTTTTATTATTTAAAGATTTTATACAAGGGCCAACTCAACAAGAAGCCTAAAATTCCTATCCAAAATGCGTTAAAATTATTCCTAATCTAATTGGCATAGCAGGTTAAACTAATGGAGTTTAACCTGCTATAAATCAAGCTCAAACCTATTCAAATACAAATCCAAGAATAGCTGAAAATGTTTATCTTGTGTAAAACTGTCCAGCGATTTTTTGATTACTTCTTTTGATACTGTATTATTTTAAAGGAATTTGGAAGTATTGCATCAAACCAATTTAATATATTGTATTAGGACAATATTTAATGAATAACAGAGAATTTAATACCAGTGATTCGCACTGATAATAAATCTTTCGTCAAAAGGATTGCAACTTGTTATTCCCCTTTTTAAAAGCTACAGAAAATTTCTCTAAAATAAATTCCATAAAAACCTCAAATGTTGCCTATTCATATGGAAAAAGCGATTTCTAAAATAAAAAATATGATACATTACAACGCGTTTTTCCTTTGAATAAAAAACCTCGAAAACTATTTGACAATTTGTGCCGCCTTAACTAATTTAGCTCCTACATTGGTTTCTGTATATAATATTATATACCTGTATATACAATAATATTCCTGTATATACCATAATAATAATAATTTAAATAACTCATGGAACATGTTTAGCTATTTATGTTATTATTATATTTATAATTTATATTTTATTAGTTATTTGTCTGTATATTTTATTATACATATTTGCATTATTATATTTTACATATTTGCATTATTATTTTACATTTGCATTATTATTTTGCATTATTATTTTACATTATTTGCATTATTATATTATACATATTTGCATTATTATGTATATTTTATTATATTTTATTATTATATTTTATTAGTTATTTATCTGTTATTTTTATATTTATAAGCTATATTTATATTATTTTTATATTTGTAATTCAGGTAAAGTTTATGTTTTGCTTATTTTTAATTGTGAAATCAAAAAATAGTCGAATTGATAAAACAAAAACTGTTTATATTTTCATTCAGCTTTCTAGTGAATGAAAATTTAAACAGTTTTAACGTAAATTTTAATGCCTTATGTACAGTTGGCCAAAAATATTGATTTGTTCCAATGCATGAATAAATTTTTCTTTCATGAAAACCTGTTTATAATTTTCTTTTAATAAAACTTTTCTTTTATGAAAAACTTTACCAAATCTTCGCAGCCATCTTAAAACACTTCTTTATATCCATTTAAATAATATACAAATACTTTATATTCATTTAAATAATATACGAAAATATACGTCTTTATATCCATTTAAATAATTTGAAAGTTTAAATTAATAAGAACTACATTAACCTTAATCTCCATAAAATTGTTCAGCAAAATTTGATATTTGTAATTTTTTTAATAGTCTAGGCGATAAAATGCAATAGGAAAATGTTTTGAAAAAATTATTAAATGTTGTCTTCTTTTCATTTTTATTTTAAATTAAACTCAGTCATTTTTATTCATTTATTCAGTTATTTTAATTTTAAGTTAACGTTGAATTAAATAGAATCAATTTTCTTACCTAAAAAATTTTTTGGACATTGTTTAAAAATATTCGAGAGAGACTTAACTACAAATACGTAGTGGGGTGTCTAGCCTCCCCCCTCCCCCCACACCCCTTTTTCACTACTAAATTTACTAGGCATATTAGACACTTGAGTCAGCAAAATTAGACCTAGAGTTTGCAGTCGGCAGTTGTTAGCTAACAAGAATGTTTTTTTCTTAGTCGGCAAAAAATAGACACTTAACCTCCCCCTTCTCATCCCTACAAAATCTCTTATGGACGTCCCTGCATGTGGTTAGTTTTTTTCAGTTTTTTAGTTTTTCTTTTGCGTCACAATTGGTTTCAAAAAACTCTAGGGTCGCACTTAAAATCTATTGACTTTTTTACCCTAATTATGAATCTCTCTTTTGCAGATTCAGCAAACAGTAAAAAAGTTTTTATTTAAATATTTTGAAACCTCTGTGGAAAATAAAATCTTAAAGAACCTTATTTTAATCAACTCATTGACAATAAGTTACTGATATTTAAACGATTACTGTTTCAAATTAAATTTATATTTAGAGACAGATTTAACACTTATTTAATAATACTTTAATGTTTAAAGTTATAATCATGTAAAATTTTTAACCGTCCTTAGTGAATTATAAACTTTTACGGTCCTAAGTCTTATATTCAAACTTTTTCCACAAGCGACAATAAATAAGTAAAAAATTATACAAATGTTAATACATCAAAAAAAATCAGAAAGTTGCTTAAATTCTAACAAATTATGATGTGAATCCCTATAAAACGAAACAATAAAATTTGACAAAAACATGCAATTTTCAACAAAAAAACCTTATCTACAAGCAACAACCTTCCTCCCTTTCAAAAAAAAATCAATTCAATAACAACTATTACGTGAATTTCAAAAAAATAAAAATGCAAATTCTAAACAGAGAAAAATCTGTAACAAAAACACTTCAGCAAATAGCTGTATAAGTTTTTAAGTAAACTCATTAAAAACTAAATCTTTGATGCATAATTAAGATAATTAACCTTTTTTGCCCTTATGTAAAATTGAAAATAAAATTGTTCAGCTAATTTTGTTAATCAACTTTAAACATTTTTATGTATTTTGTAAGGAACTTTGCTTTCAAACATTGGTAGGGTATTTGCAGACATTATTATAGCAGAGCTGGATCTATTTTTTTTACAACAACAACAGTAACAACACAAAACAAATAACCCAAGTAGAAGTACCATTCCACCAATTGCACCGTATTTTATCGAATCATCTGCAGAATTCCATAACTTTAAGAAATCTATAAAAATAAGGGATAATTATAAAAAAAACACCAAAAATAGTCGTAATAAAAGGGAAAGTATGAAAAATATTTGACACCAATATTATTATAAATATCAAAAAAAGTTGCCCATTAAACACCAACAATAACTTCACATAAAACATATGGTAGTGATGCAGTGTGTGCTAGTAAATAGAACAGTGTGGATTGTGTGCGGTTGCTTGTAATAGTGGTAAAACTATTTATGTTTGCTTAACCAGCCCATAAAAATCTTGTTATTACAGTATTCGATTTATTTTCCATGGTTTCACACAAATTAGTGGTATCTTATGGAATAAATTTACTCTACTTCTTTGCTCAAATTTCTTACAGTTGCTAAAACTCATTTTCACAAGTTTAGCTTAAATGTGAATAAATTCAGTCAAAGTTCATTGCAAAGTTACATATTTATACATTTTCCCAAATAAAATTTTTTCTTAAAAGTCAAAATAACTATGAAGTGGTAAAATTATGGAATTCACATTTAAATGAAAAAAAATCTTTTTTATAACTTGATGAAATATTGTCTTATATCAAAGTTCTTTTAAAGTTCAAAAAAATTATCTAAATCAGCTTTTTTAAACAAGATGTTTAAATTTATTCAAAATAATGTTGAAAAAAAAAATTAACTAATGGCTAGCTAGTAACATCTGTAAGAGTTACGACACAAATCTCTCGTGGATTGCTAACTAAATAAGCTACCTACAACTTTTTACAAAGTATAGTTTAAAAGAAAAGCTTGCTTCATTTTGTTGCTTCAAAATAAAAATATATAAATGAAAATGGATTCAAGCGACAGTTTAAAGCATTATAAAACATTTACCATTATGCAGAACAATAAAATGTTACAAATGTTTGTTTACATTTAACAATATTAATTTGTATTGCCAAATATTTGAGACCTAAAAATAACACAGCCGTACACCTAAAAAAACTCATGTTAAATGTTAATCTAAATTTGTTTTTCCAAAGCCATAGTAGATTTTAATTTAAGGGGCTGTTATCAGTTATCAATATGATTTTCTATATGTTTCAGGAAAATTTTTTTTTTTTTTATGTTTTGTAAATAAATGTTCAAAGCTTAAGTGATCGAACTTAAATAATATTATTTTATTTTAAACTAGTTCATTGATGTGACAGGTGATAATCAGTTTTTAATTTTTTGTTTATGCGACACAATGATCGCAAAAAGTGACCAACGGAGCCGTCCAGTTACATAGACCTGGGAAATGTGAAAATAAAAACAGATTGAAGATTGTGTCATTTAGGTAAAAAAAACATAAATTAATGCAAAGACTATTTAGTTGGAAGAGTAAAAGTTAGCAACTCAGAAAAAGGGGAATAAAAACTCACATTCTAGTCATCTTTTAACAAATGATAAAACAATGATCTATGAGTAAACAAGTCATTAAAAATCCGCTGGTTTATAATGGTATTCATAACTAAAATAATCGCACCATATAAGTGTCTATTAAATGTGGTACTATAAATGTTCTAAACTCTAGATAAAAAATTGATAACTGATAATCACCTGTGTAACATAAAAAATATATAAATGTCGTTAATGTAACAAATTTATAATAAAAAGCTCACAAAGCGCAAAAATATATGGGTTTAAGAGGTAAAAAAATGTTGGTGCCATAATAACTAATTAGAATTAAGTAGTGGATAAATGGTGATCCCCCTCCTCAGGAATGCACTGCGATCACCAATGACGTTTCGGAGAGCCCGAGACCTGCACTAAAGCCACTCGTCAGGTCCTTGCAACAGATCTCACCGCCTGCACTCTACGTCATGCTAGTCAATATTGCAATATAATAGGACTACACTACAAAAGCCAAAAAACCCAATCCCTATCCCAGTTTTTGAAAACAGCTCCAACATTCTTAGAGATCTCGTGAGGGTGGTGAGGAATGCGCGTGGTGTGACCATAAACAGATATGTAAACACATATAAATATAAGCTACCCTTACATTAGAAGAAACAAACTTGTACACATGTACGTATGCACGTGTGTAAATAAACAATTATAATGTGTAGATATAACAAAAGGCGAATAGAAAAAATTAATTAATAATTAATAGTAACTTACCGTTTCTTTTATGGCTGAAATATGTATTATAAATATAATAAGTAAATACCACTCATAAGCATTGATACTAAGTAAAGATGTTTTGTGGTTAGTACGAAAGTAGTTCAATAACAATAATAAAAAAGCAAATAAAATTAAAATGCTTAAAAATAAAATATTAGATAAACTTTAAACTTAAGAACATATTTTTAATTTAAAACTACAAAGGCTTACTCTAATCAAATAGGGTTTACAAAAATGTATACACGTTATACCTTTAAATTATGAACATATTTCAAAAGAATATAACACTTTAAAGGCTCTTTAAATACTTACAAAGACTTTTTCTAACTTTAAACAGAAAACGAGATTAAAAAGTTAAACTATAAATACACTTTTGATTTATTAATAAATTTTTCTACAAACAAGTCCGAATCTTATATCCTAGACTCTACATCTTTCAAAGGAAATGTAACACAGGACAACAAACGCCGCCTAATTTTCGTTTTTTAGTAAATAAATTTATCAAAAAAGTAACATCTTTGACGTTAGCTTTTCTTAACCCCCCACCCCTACTCCCCCCATCTTTCTCTCCTTTGTTTACAACTGTCAAAAATTTTCAGACCACCCTCCTCCTATTTTGTTTACATAATCAATGGACAACCCCTAATCCTAAAAAACTATTTAAATTTTTTTTTTTCTAAAGTGCAACAGTTTTCTAAGGTAAAATCTCTTTGAAAAACTTTATATTCCTTTAAAACTTATTTAAACAGTTAATTTGTTAAAAGGATTAAAACATTTTTCAAAGTAAATATACCTAGATTAAAATTTAAACTTCAAGAGTTGCCCTTGCTAAACGAAAGAGATTAGATGCTCTTTTTTGAATCTGTAAAAAGAATGGGGCATTTATCCAGGTTTATCAATAAAACAAAGAGAAAAATTTCGAAAATTGTGGACATCTTCAAAAAAAATTATTATACACTTGATTATAAAAATCCTTATCGATTTGTAAAATCATTTGTAATTAACAGGTGGTTACTGAAAATTTGGACTAACTTTATTTGAAATTATAATACTCTGAGGTAAATTTTTTTTTTACATTCTTATATTATTTTTAAAGCTTATTCAATTTTCTTTAATTTTATTGACTTGTTTTTAGATAATAAATAAGACTTAAGAAAAAAGTAAGAAGAGAAAAAAAAATTCACGATTTCTGTTTAAATCACAGGTCTTGATCAAATCACAAGGTAAAAAGTTTACAGTTGATCACTTCAATGCTGAACTAGTTTCAAGAAGCACTATCTATGATACAATCAAACGCGCTGAGAATGTTTCTGGACACAAAAGGTGCGAGGAAGTGGTCGTGTGGTCAAAGCCATGACCCTCAAGGCGATCAAGCCTCTGAAAACCATGCTTGACCACAGTGACCGGGTTTCAATGAGGAAAGCCGTTCAAAAAGTTTGGATGCAGTCATTAACATATAATTAAAGCTATTACTATGTCACTGACATCAAACCTATAAAAAACACTGTAAATCCGATCAATAAAAGGACCAGAAAGAGCAAATCAAGACCAACATTGATCGTCTTTATTGCGATATCCAAGAAAAATCGGTTTACTTTACGCTGTTGCACTCAACGATAAATGGAAACAGAATTTTCTACTTTAGTGACAGTGACAGAACTCCCCCAATCCTTAAACATCACAAAAAGTGCTAGTTCAAACCCAAGCTGCTCGTCTTGCTGGCCGCTTCTGAAGGTATTTTTGAACCATTTTCGTTCCCGGCAGATTTAAAGTCGAGTTATCTACGAAATAGATTGTATTAAAGGAATACTAGTGGCGTTCATCTATGCTTATCTACCGATGGCATTTATGTATTTTAACCAGACCTGGTCTTATCGTATTACACAAAAATCGTGACCAAGGCATCAATTTTGTTAAAAAAGTTTCCCGTTGCATCGGAGTACCACCCAATTGATGACTTTTGAGCTATTTTGAAAGGCAAAGTGTATGAGAGTAACTAGCAAGACGTGAAACAACTGCAAATCCGAATAAATCTATGTTTAAAAAAAATTGACCTTAAATTTTTATTTATTCGTTGGGGTGAACTTGTCTTAGAGTTTGCCGTATCCTAAGAAACTGGATGAAAACAAACTTAATTAAAATGAATCAATAACTAAAAACTCTTTCTAATGATATTTATACTTAATCTTCTAAAAACTATGGGATGATTTTGGATGGCCCCTGAAAGTAAGTCTGGATTTTTAGTCACCGCCCCTTACTTTTTATTAATCTATGTAAACTTTATAATTAATAGTTTTACAATTACTATTAAATTATTTATATTTAACAATTTATCTTACTGTTGCAATCTGAGTCAGTGATAGTTTCCTCAAAGACTGGTATTTCCAGTGGTGTTGATCCAAAAAGTTTAACAAGCAAAAGTACCTAAAAGTTTATTTCTAAGTACAATAACTAAATTTTCACAACTTTAAGGATAAAGTTTTGTTTTACTCATAAACTAGAAAATATCTTATAATATCTTCTAGTTTATATCAATATCTTCGGATATAAGAACTTTGTATAGAAAAATATAGCATGAAAACTCAAATAAATAAAAATAAAAAAATAAAAAAATCACAGAGCATCGCGGATGAGTATTTAATAAGAAGTTCACGCATTCATTTTAATCAATGTTGTAAAACTTGCCCAGCGGTGGTTTTTAAACCACGGATCCTTTGTTTCTGTGGCAAGTGCGCTACCACTGCGCCTTGGCTGCTCTAGTATGCATATACATACATATTGCTGCTCTAATATGCATTTACATATATGGTTAATCTGATAATAATAATACGCTAAATTAATATTGTTAGGCGAATTACGTCATTTTTTAGGCTTTCCTATTTTAAAGTAGTTTCTAGGCTTTTCTATACGCGTTTTTTTATTCCACGCGGTCTTTTGAGCAAGATCTGCAAGTAAATTTGAGTTGTTGATGTCAATATTTTTAGATATCAATGAAGTATCAAGTAAGTTATATTAGTATTCAGATTTCACTCTTTACTTTTATTAAAAAACAAATTAAATAAAAAGTTTTTTTTTATATATTTCAGCTCTAAGGCAACAGATTGGTAAGCAAAAATATATCATATGCTTTTATCTTCCCAAAGCTTAGTAGGCTGTTACACATAAGGATGCTACTTTAATTGTGGTTGCAACCCTTTCTCAACTTAAAATTAAAATTTTAAATACTAACATTGTAAAACAAGGCCGCTGTGCTAAGAAACAACTTAAGTGCGGTACTACCAGATACATTTGACCTTATAACTATACCACTATGCACAAAAACCATATAAAGTAATTATATTTATCAATAAATAAAATAATGTACTTACCAATATATAAAATTATATATTTACCAATGTATATCTTACGATGAATATTCTAAAATATATCATTCAAGATATATTTAAGGATTTATATTAAATTTTCAAGTTTTTTTTTAAGTTCTTCTGCAAAGGCGAGTTGGTAAGTTGTACGTACTGTTTCCATATTTTTAAAGGATAATATTTTTTCTTTTTAACAAAATTTTTAACATTTTTATATATATCTTTGTTACATCCCTACGGGCATTTGTTTTTGAAAGTTACGTTCTAAATGTCTTTTAAACGTTTTTTAAACGTCTTTTAAACGTTCTATACATAAGAATGTTTAGAAGACGTTTAATATATATATAATATAGACGTTTAAGTTCTATAACTTGAAAATTGCCTACCACAAGATACCCCCACACCCCTTTTTCCGTAGAATCGCCTCTGTCGGTGAGTAGACTGTTGTCAGATGAAATTTCAAATAATAAAGTTAATTTATTTTTCCCGTTTATTGTTTCCATAATTTTATTTTACATGAAAGCATTCAAAAATAGACTAAGGCATGTACTTTTTAAAATTGCACATTATTTTCACATTTTTTTTTTAATTGCATGAAAAAATACGAGTTTTATTTTTTAAATTTTACCTCTTCCACTTATATTTTACCAACTTCTAAGGTCCAATTTTAAAGCTCTTAAATCCTTCTTTATTTAATGACCATAAATAGTTCATTAGGTTAACTACCAAGACCCCACTAAATTAAACTGGACTTTAATTTGGACTTTTGGATCTACACCTTTATAAGATATAATCTCGAAGATGAAAGTTGTAATTAAGAAATTGCAATATTTAATTGAGAAATAAAACATGTAATTTAGATATCGTAATATGTTTTAAAGAAACACAACATGTTTTTTAGACGTCGTAATATGTTATCAAGGAAACATAACATGTAATTAAGAAAGTGTATAACGTAATTGAGAAACACAACATATGAGGCACCTCATAGGAAAAGGTACCAAGTCTTAGTTTCTAGATTCGGAGATACATGCGTTTTAAGAAAAATATGTTCAAAAATTTGTAAGTAACTTAATTCTTTTTTTGAGCAGTTTTATCATTGTTTAGTAATAGTTTTTGAAATTAATAATTAAAATATACATTAACTTCATTAATATGTGAAAGTTACACAGTTTTAAAGTATGTCAAATCTTCAAAGTCATTTCTTACCGTAATTTCTTTTTTAAATTTGTAATTGCAAATTAACAATGTAAATAGGTCATTATTAAAGGTGTTCTAGAATATGATTTTGAAGAAGTTAATATTCTTTCAATTCTATTAATATTAATATTAAGTAATATTAATATTAATAGAATTGAAAGATAGTTGTGTTATTTGTCATTACACTATGACCTGAAAGTCTGTTATTAAATTGAATACGTGTCAGCATTTAAATACCAGCTAGCATGTGCGTGTAAAACCCAATCTTTTTAATAAATGGTGCACTACAACCACAGAAAATTAGATTGCATAGCTGTCTGCCTTTTCTTGCTTTTTAAGATTTTTTTTGTTTATTAGAGGTTTATCTGTTGGGTTATTTATTAAAATGATTTAATAGTCAGATACAAATGTAATGCCAATATATATTCGATCAACATCATTCCCAAATTTTAAAGTATGCATCTTTCCCAATATCTCCACAATTTCATATATTGTGCAAAATACTATATTGAATGATACGACAGAGCCAGCGACATCGGGAGAAAGGGGAAAAAGGGGCAAAGGGCACTTTTCTCCTATTTTTTTTCTAAAAAACCTTTTTTTTTTTAATTTTCTAGATATTGAGAAACTGATGGTTGTGCCCTTCCACTTTGAAACCCATATCGTCGACACTGTACAAACTGACATTTTGATAGCTTTATCTGATTACAATGCTTTATCACCTTAATTTGAAATACTAAAACTTTTACGTTACTTTAAATATTTCCATAGTGTAATGCTTTAAAAATGTCTTCTTTTACAATGTTTTTTTTTATCCCACTCTCACGATCGCATTGTTCCATACATTTTGATAGCTTGTTGTAATCTGTTCTTAATTATTAAAGATTATCCTTTGCAGACTTTATAAATTGCCTAAAATATATAATATTCATAATGTAAATTAGTATTAAAATATTTTATATTATGAATATGAACTAGTACAGTGCCATTTGGATCAAAAAATCGCTTTCTTTGTATAAGTTACTATATCGAACTAATTCAATCAGAACTTTTTTATCGTTTTTGTCAACAATATCATGCAATTTGGATACAAGTTCGTCTGTTTTCGCTTTAGGTTTTTCTAAGGCAAGTATTTAGGTATTTATATCTTTGCCTAGAATACGTACTGGTGTTTTATTTATTTGAAATAGTACTGGCTTGCATCCAATAGTTCTGGCTTGCATCCATATTGACTATTTGAGTATATAGCATTCTCGAAAATAACGATCTTTTCTGGAATATAGTTCTGGCTAAAAATTATCAAAATATTGGTTTTGTTCTTGTAGATTATGAGCGCATTTGTTTTAGCTTCGCACTTTATTCAAATGGGAATGACACATAACAGTACCAAAGGGAAGATTGTTAACTTTTATTTAGCTGGTTAAACAATATTACAATTTTTTATATAACTATGTAAAAAAATGAAAAACATTGTAAACATAAAAACCTTGAAAAAAAATGTTTTTAATTTTTTTTATAATAAAAAATATTAAAACAAATAAGAAGAAAAAAAAAAGGAGAAAAAAAATCAAAAATCTGAAAGCAAATATTTAAAACTATAATACATATATATGTCAGGAATGCATTTTATTTTGTTTTATATATATATATATATACATATATATATATATATATATATATATATATATATATATATATATATATATATATATATATATATATATATATATATATATATATATATATATATATATATATATATATATATATATATATATATATATATATATATTATTTTGTTTTATATATATATATATATATATATATATATATATATATATATATATATATATATATATATATATATATATATACATATATATATATATATATATATACATATATATATATATATATATATATATATATATATATATATATATATATATATATATATATATATATATACATATATATATATATATATATATATATATATATATATATACATATATATATATATATATATATATATATATATATATATATATATATATATATATATATATATATATATATATATATATATATATACATATATATATATATATATATATATATATATATATTTTTTATTGTTTTTATTTTATATATATATATATTTATAAAAATGATTATATATATATATATATATATAATCATTTTTATTTTGAAAATGATTCCAAATTGATGGATTAGATAAATTGTAATTAAAAAACTTAACTGTTGTGATTTAATTTTCCCTAGGTGGTAGTTGTACCTGGTATTTGAACGCAGATTATATTTTTCACAAAATGATATCAAAAAAATATCTAAAAAAATGCATGGTAAAAACTAATATCTGTAATGTGTTAAGTTTCTTATTATCTAGAACCATCATGCTTTTCATCAATGGGGCCGGGTTTATTAACCTAGTTAAGTAATTAATTGCTTTACATGAATGGTCCTTCAGACTTTGCAATTTTAGCAATTTAGTTTTATGGTTGCTGGCCCATACAATATTTGCTGAAACAGAGGTAGAAATTTTCGATTTCAATATTCATTGTCTCAAACAAAGTCTTTGCATCAGGATGATTTTTAAATAAATAGCTTTGAATCTACCTAAATGTTGAGCTTATTATAACTTAATATTTTAGCTTGGAAAATAAAATACTTAAAAAGTAAATAATGTGATCCACTTTATCAAAGGTTTCGGAAAGACTTACATTGTTCGTAGTAAATATTGATTTTAACATTGTTATGGGAACTAATCGTGTAGTTAATGCTTTTGCTTGCTTTAATTGATCATGATTTGGATGCTTTTATCCAGGGCCGGCGCGAGTATGTGTCACATGGGGTGGGGGGCGCTATTAATTTAATTATTAATTTTTTTCAATTTTGTTATTTAGGTGCTCCAAGATCTAACAATCTCCAAGATCTAACTATTTAGGTGCTCCAAGATCTAACAGTCTTGTCACAGAGCACCACGGAAGTGCATTTAACTAGGAAGTTCACGCCTCCTTCTTTACCGTGACGTGAAAATATGTCCAGAGCTCGTTTCGAGCCTGGATCTCCTGTTTCTAAAGCAAGCGCTTTAACCACTGCGCCACGGCCGCAATTTTTACGACTGTTTCAACATTTTTTGATTAAGAAAAAAAGAACCTCGTTTTTTAAAATTTGCCGTCTGCCTAGTCGACATTTGCCGACTAACTGTCTAAATTTACCTTCTTATCAACTATTTGTCTAGAAGGTCTACATTTGCCTTATTTATTATAAAAAATAAATTAACAACTAAAATAAGTTAAATTCCTTCTAACCAATAATAAAGAAAATGCGATTACAAACAAAGTTAACATATTTGTGATGTTTTTTTTTTTTTTTCTTTTGTTATTTATGGAAAGAGTTATGGAAAGTTTATTTTTCTAACTAACTCATTGTATTTTGATCTTTTAATTAATATCCTCAACCGAGAGAATGTAATGTTTTGAAGTCAATCAAAAATTAATAAACATAAGTATCGTGAAAAATTCAACTGATATTTTTTTATTAGCGGTCAATATAACATTTTTGAAATAGTAAAATTTTTGAAAGAAAGTAACTGGTTGAATTACAAATTATGTTATATTATAACATCACAACTATGTTCCTTTTTATTCTCACGGTTAAATATTTAAATTTAAGTTGTTTGTCTTCTACTACGACGAGTTGAAATGCAAAAAAACATAATTTTTGAAGCCAAAAAATCCATTTTTACGGCTAAGAAATAAAGTCAGAAATTTTGTCGAATTTTCCATCAAAATTGGTAAAAGAATATAAAACAATAAATTAGAATGTTTTCTCGTCTTCAAAAATTTGAAAACATTTTTTTTTTTTTTCAGAAAAACTAGCTTTTTCAGAGCACATTTAATGTAATATTTAACTAATTAATTGAATGGGTTTTGATAAAAACATTTAAAATAAAATGCAGAAACAAAATTTTGAAAAAATTAACATTTTTTTATATTTTTTATATTTTAAAATGTTAAACGAACCTTTAATAAAACTTTTTCTCGATCTCCCCATTCTCCCCATTTAGCTTATTTACAAAACTTTAAAATTATAAAAAAGTATCACCTTTAATTTTATATTTCCAGAATGGTCATCCTCCAAATTTACTTGCATATATAAACCAGCTAAGGCACTCAATGATAGTCCAGGTATTTCAATATCTTGAGAAGCATGCAACTGAGTTTCATAATCAATTCTTAGTTCAGGAATTTCAAAACGAAATTTTATCAGAGGATCATTTCTACAAGTTTTTATGTCTAATTTTATTTTTGCTTTAAAATTTTTCACATCACTTTGACAAGTAAAAGTTCTTTCACCTGTACCCAAATCAGATTTATAGCAGGTGGCGCAGATGACAGCTAGATTAAATAACCGTAAACTAATTACGTCCAAAATATTAAAAAAGAAAAAAAAAAACAAGAATAACAAAATAGTTATAAACTTAACAAAAAACTTCAAATATTTAATCTTAAATAAGTATGCGTAAATACAATTTTTATTTTAATCAAAATTCTGTGCTTTACACTTTTTTTTTTTTAATAAGAACTTGTTTATTATGAAACTAAAATAAAATAAAATATGGGATTATGGTTTATTAAAAAACTAAAATAAAAATATGGTTTATTATGAAACTAAAATAAAATAAAAAATAGAAATCTTAAAATCGCAATAAACCTATAACATTATAGGGCCATCCATAAAAGACGTCACCATTTTTTAGCCAGTTTTTGAACCTCCCAACCTTCATCTCAATGTCACCGGTTCTCTTTTTTCCATATACCCCCCTTGAAAAGGACGTCATATAATTCTGAATCCCCTTCCCCCTTATTTTTAACTCCAAGAAAAATTGTTTTATATCGCAATGATGTTTGAATTTGCTGCTACACCTTTAAAAAATAAAATTAAAAATAGTCTCATATATTATTTTTGTAAAAACACATGTTTACATAGTTTTCCATCTTAATTAAACTAAAATAAAAAATCTATAAAGTGACGTCCTTTTCTGATAACCTCCCCCCTCTCCTTGTCCTTTTTTGTCATTTTTATCTCGATCCCTCCCTCCCCCTCCTGTTTTGATGATGTCTTTTATGGATGGCTCTAAAGTTACTTTTTGATAAGAAACATATTGTTAGATGTTATTAAGAAAAATATTTCCTAATTTTTTACTTACATCATGTAGGTGTTGACTAGTATATATCATATCAATATATCATCAAATTAAAAAGCATTTATTATGGAGAACAACAGCTTACATTAATATTTTATTTGCACCCAATTAAATAGAGTTTTGATTTTGATTGCCAACGAAACACGTTTTTATAAATGCATTGCAAAAATAGAAATAAACAAATTTAAAAACTTTAAGTTGGAACTTCTCATTCAGTCTATTGAATTTTATTTACATTTTCTTTTTTAGGTGCCCCAAGAAGACCTAATGGTCTTGTCACAGAGCACCGCGGAAGTGCATTTTAAATAGAAAATTCACGCTTCCTTTCTTACCGTGACGCGAAAATATGTCCAGACCTCGTTTTGACCCTTGATTTCCTGCTTATATAGCAAGCGCTCTAACCACTGCATTACGGCCGCATCTTTTTTATTTACATTTTTTTTTTTTTCTGATACTCTGAAACTTAAAATATTGTTAAGAAACTTAGGCATTGGAAAAATAGATTTAGGGTAGGTAAGGGTATTATGAATACCTTTGGCAATAATTAGAACATTTTCAAGAATACTTATGCTGGATCCAAAATTTTGCGAATAAATAAATCTTATGGATCACTACTATGATCCAGTTAGATGTTTGGACGTCCGAAGTTTTTTCTTGAAAACACAGTGGCTTTAAAAAAGTAGCGAAAGTGCTTATATAACCCACACCGCATGATAATATTAGCACCTTAAATAAGCTCAAAAAAAAATAACATTAAGTAAAAAAACAAAAATCTGACAATAACAACTAATTTTTGGAATATAATGCATTATTATTAACAAACCTATTAATAAGTGATCAAGTTTTAAGCCACTTTTAATTGGTTATTTTTTGCAATTTTCCTCTCTCTCTCACTCTCTCTCTCTCTCTTTCTCTCTCCCTCTCTCTCTCTCTCTCTCTCTCTCTCTCTCTCTCTATATATATATATATATATATATATATATATATATATATATATATATATATATATATATATATATATATATATATATATATATATATATATATATATATATATATATATATATATATATATATATATATATATACATATAAACGTGCGGCCGTGGCGCAGTGGTTAGAGCTTGCTTTATTAACAGGAGATCCAGGTTCGAAACGAGCTTTGGACATATTTTCGAGTCACAGTACGGAAAAAAAGCGTGAACTTGCTGGTTAAATGCACTTCCGAGGTGCTCTGTGACAAGACCGTTAGGTCTTCTTGGGGCACCTAAATAACAATATATATATATATATATATATATATATATATATATATATATATATATATATATATATATATATATATATATATATATATATATATATATATATGTATATATATATGTGTATATATATATATATATATATATATATATATATATATATATATATATATATATATATATATATATATATATATATATATATATTTAAAACTCAAATGCAAACAAAATAAATTCAACCATCAAGACTAAAAAAAATCAGCTTTTTACTTTAATAACAAATGATGTTTTAAGTAATAAAATGAATTTTCTAAAGAATAGTAAATTCTTTACAATAATTTGCAATGATATACTAACATAACAAATAAAAAGCAGTTATCTTTTAGTGTAAGCTAGATAGACGAAATTCTATGTACAAAATAAATTTTTTTATGATGATATGAGATTTTAAAAATTAAAAGTGATACACTTATGTCAGCAAAAAAAGATTCCTTAATCAGATTTGAGTTACCGATTGAAGGTCTCCGAGAACAGATATATGACGGAGCAAGTAATATAATGAGGAAGAAAAATGAGCACAGCAGATTTCAATAGAGCAATAAAAAAACTTTGTTACTGAGTGTCACAGTTATTCACCATGTTTACCAATAAAAGATGAATAACAAGAACTATATAAACTCTCAATGAAGTCATGGGAATCGGGGAGATCTAGGATTGAAACAATTTACGATTTTAGTTCTTGTTAAGTTTTCTCCTAAACAAGAAAGGATGCTTGGAGACATCAATGAAAATACTGAGGTATTAAATGATGACAATAATAATGTTTTAGAGCAAGCAACTTCACTATCAAAATTATTAGTAGCTTGCTGGACAATTCATGTAACTATTTATAATAAGCGGCGTTTTTTATAAATCCAATTAAAAAAGGAAATTAAAATAAGAAAAGTAAAAAATATAACTACAATTTCATAAATCAATTAAAAAATCGTGTTTATTAAAAAGCTTTACATACCCTGCCAGTTAAGATAAATAAATACAAAAACTAAACATGTATTCAATTTCATGTTAAAGTGTAAAGAGATAACTATAAAAATCAATTGAGTGTTTGTATACGTAAAGAACGTTTTTATAGACGAGATTATTGTTGATAAGAATAAATCATTTTGTTGTTTTATCATAATTCTGATTCAGACAAAGGTGTGATATTCAATTATTCGGATATATAATACAATACAGCAATTTAATCTACTCAGTTAATGCAAGTTTCTAAGAACTTCAATTTTAAGAATGATTCTAAGAAATTATATAATAGAAGAGATTCTTGTTGATAAGAATAAATTATTTTTTCGCTTTATCATATTTCTGATTAAAACTAGGGTGTGATAACCAATTATTCGGATATATAACACTAGGGAACAACGTTTTCGCTACATGAGATCTATTAAGTGTACTAAGACCATTTTTAACACTTTATGATCATTAGAATTATAATGTCAATGCTTCTAAGTTTCAATACAATAACTAAAATTTTTTATGTAAATAGAAGAGGAAAAACAACTATACAGTATCATATGCACAAATAACTTCAGGCAATCGTAATATAGTGCATTTTGAAATCAAAAAATAGTCAAGTGATATTGCTTTTCTTTTGTAATTAGTGTCACACTCTCGCTGTAAAAACCAACAAAAATCCCCAATCATGTTATTGTCATATTTTCCTTGATATCTTTTTTCCATCGTTGCTATTTCTTGGTGAAAACGTTCACCCTGTTTGTCGCTGACTGCACCTAGATTGGGTAGGAAGAAACTGAGATAGGAATAAAAAATGTTATTTTTTAAGGACATTCTGCATCCCATTTCCTTGTATTTTGTTAGTTCTCTTTCAACCAAATCTTCAAAGTTTTTAGACCTGTGGTTTCCTAAAAAGTTAGAAACAACAGCCATAAATGTATCCCGTGTGTCTTATAAGTGGGATCACGAATGACTTCACAAATTTGAGGTCCTTTGAACACACCTGCAAATATTTTTGCTGGTGTAAGAGTGGTCTTGAACTTCTCTTGAAGATAAGCGAAGGTACCCGAATCCTTGCCCATTTCCTTCGCAACATTTTTGAACATTCCAAGCTTTGCGTGAAGAGGAGGAAATAGTATTTTGGTAAGATCGATAAGAGACTCATGTTGTACATTGTATCTGCCAGATACATGATCAGTTCTCGCTAACCAGTCTTTAACTGTGAAATGATTTTTGTCGTCACGGCTGTTCCATAGACATAGAAAGCACATGTACTTTGTGTATCCCAGCTGCAATCCAAGAAGAAGAGACACTACTTTTAGATCCCCGCAGAGGCACCAATTATCATCTCTAAACTTGGTAACGTTGAGAAGCAACTTTATAGAATTATATGTCTCCTGTAATCCGACTAATTGTGTAAGAGATCTGCTTTAAGACTAATTTTACTTAAGTCTATAAACAGAAGCCAGTCTTCTGGAGTTTACTCACAGTCCAGTTCTTTCATTAAACCGTTATTGTCAGTACAATAACAGATTCTTGTCATAAAATTTAGCAAACTGTACAAGCATATCACGAAAATATGAAATTGTTGTTCCGCTTTGTAACAAATTCGATTGTTGTTTACAAGATCCAAGCAGTTCTGCCTTCCTCTTCATTAACCACAGATCCCTCACTAAATCTTTCAATTTACCTTGGCCAATAAGATGAGGTATCTTTTTATCATCTATTGGTTTATACGCATCACTCTCGTGCTCCCTGTGATTTTTCTTATCTTCATCGACGCTTTTTTTTGTTTATTTTTTGTTATTTAAATGAATATTTTAACAGGATATACATTTCAGTTATATATAAAAACTGCTATCAATGTGTGTTCTGAATATTAGTGTAACATTAAAAGTATATATGACTAAAAGTATAAAAAATAAATATAATAATATTAACAAATTTTATAAAAGTGATTTAAATAAAATTATGTTTTTGTACTTTTTGCGTCTTTTGTTAAATTATTGTAAAAAACAACGCAAAAGAAAACGACTTTTTTGTACATTCAAGTTTTATCTTTGGAATAACAACAGAAAGATTATTGTTGCGTGTTTGCTTTGAATTTCGTCTATTGATGGAACAGTGATTACGTTAATAATATGGTGTTTGAATTTATTGCAACAGCTTTAGCTGCTAGTTTGATGATTTTATTTATTTGGTTGCTAGTTTTCTTTAAACTTACAATTCCACAATATGTTATTATTGGAATTATCATGAAGATAAAAATATTTCTTGAAAACCAAATCAAGATTTTTAAGTAAAGATAACAATCGCTTAGGCGTACCAAATAGCACGGATTGTGTTTTTTTTCACAAATTGTTCGCTATCAAGGCATATTGGAGGATTGGGAACTGAATTTTGTTTATCGTTAGGAACAGATTTCAAAGCAGAGTCACAATTTGGATAATGGACTGCTGATTTGTTTTTCTTGGAGTATCCAGTAATATTTGTAATACAGAAGTAGCAGTCTGAACGATGATTTCTTGGCTCTCGCCATATAATTGGTACCGCAATCACCATAGACTTTCTTTTGTCATTTAGCCACTGGGTGAGCCCCACATAGTAAACACTGCAGCTCTGTGTTGATTACATACTTTAACACCGATGTTGTGACAATAGACAACCTTCACTTTTCTTGTAAGTTGTTTCCGCTGATTACGGGGAGTAAAATGTCCACAGATATAACAGAAATAATCTGGATGATTCAAGCAACCCCTTTTAACTTTCTTTATATTGTTTTGAAAATTCTACACGATCAGTCTAAAATAAAAAATATATATTTAAAAGTAAAGTACGCAGCACAGCAAATGTACAACAATATTAAGCAATGTAAAAGCAACAATATTAAGCAATATTGTAACAATGTTAAGCAATATTACAACAATATTAACAATATAAAAACTAGCTACAACATGCAATATTATCAAAAATATTAATATGATATAACTCAAAAACCTGATACAAATATTCTGATTATACCACTGCACAGTGGGAAATAACATGGCCAAAAATCAAAACAATTTCTTGGTTCAATCATTATGTCTGATAGTGGGTTTTGCTACTAATACCCTCACTAATAATTTTTCAATTTAAAAAATTCTAAATGTGGCAGGCTCAATTGTAGTCGCTTTTTGAAGTTAGTTTTTTAATAAATTTTCGATAAAATTCTCAAATTACTAGATTTTAGTAAATATTATTTTTGTAATATATAGATCATTGAAAAATTGAGAATATATACATCATTGGAAAGATTATAGTATAGATTGTTAAAAATAAAAAATAAAAAATTTCTTAAAAAATAAGGTCGTACAACCTTTAGCATTAAAAGTAAAAAAATCACTAAAGTACTATATTTTAATTTTGATTAAGAATTAAAAAATTGTTCCAACTTGTACCTTTTCCATATTTTGATATTTTTTAGTCTATACTATCTACTGACTACCCTGAGAAGTTTAGCTGCAATCATCCGCGATCTTGAGCGTTAAATAATTTTTTTAATGATTTTTTAAACAAATAAAAAACTTCTTCGAATAAAAATAATTATTTTCATTCATTACAAAAAGTAAAAAAAAAAAACTACTTTAAGGCATGAAATACCAAAGCAAATTTGTTTTCGTGTTGTTATTGAAAGGAAAAATGTTATTTTTTATTTTAACTTCATGAGTTTGTGGTTTTAAATTGCATAATTTAAGAAAAAATAATTCTAAAGTGCATTTTTAATGTCCCACGAGTCGACCAAAACCACATGAATTTCTAAATTTTGTTAAAAAGTTTCTTTTTACTTTTTAAGTTTATTGTTGTGAACTAAGATAATGGAAAAAATCAATTTAATACAAATTGTGCAATGTTTTCAGTAAAATGTAAATAGTGGGTTTAAATACATTATTACTAGAATTCAAGTCAGTGAAGGCAAAATAAATACATTAGCAAGAGAAAATGACGTCTGAAGAAGCTTTTGTATATTTCTTGCATAACAAACTTTCAAGAAGTGTTTATGAAAATACCCATAAAAAAAGTACTAAGCAGGTTTCCATCTTATCGAGTAATTTCTGAAATAAAAATCGAGTGTTCACACTTAAAAACATCCATTGAAGATACAGAAACAAAGGCCAAATTTAAATTACAGGATCTTATGGATCTTTCACATCTTTTGAATTTGGTTTGAAAGTTGATTAATTATGAGCTGGTGGATCAGCTGGTGGTGTGGTGGTGCAATGAGCTAGTGGAACTAGAAATACCAGAAATTTATGCAGATGAGCATAAATTATGCAGAATAACTAGTAATACCAGAAATTTATGCAGATGAGCTTTTTCTGACCATCTATTACTCAACAAATTTTAGAAATGGATGCAGAAATTATTATCAGATTACATAATATTTTAATTGCAATTAATTGCAAAGACCCAATTGATCCGGCAATTGATACGGAAAAAAATGATAAATACTGCAATGATACATAAAAGAAGTTATAAGAGACATATGATTGGTTCAAGTTTCCAGCTTCCATTCAAAAGGTGTTAGGATATTATTATTAATTTACCAGTTCTACTTGATTTAATAGGAGAGGAAGCAGTTGAATCTCGACACAGAATTTATAAATTTAAAACTAAAAGATGAAAAGTAAGAAAATATCGTGCCTACCGGAAAAAGTTAAAAGCTTATTAGCAGTTTATAGCGATGATAAAGAAAATTCATCTGAATTGGAATCAGATGAAATTAATGACTTAGATGAATTATATTTAAATGTTGACAACGTTGACGAGAATCTCGAATTAGATATAGATGTAGAAAAATAAAGTTCTAAATTGTATTTTCTGCATAATGTATAACTTTATATTTGTTTGTCTACTATATAAACTTATTAAGTATATAACAAAATATTTAAAAAAATTGCAGTGATTCGGTTCAAGTTATTAGAGTTTGGAAACAAGAATATCCTAAAAGTTTATTTATTTGTTTATTTTTTATTATTATTTTTAATATTGTTTATTATTAGTTGAGAATTAAAACAACAGATTTTAATTCTTATTTATTAATCTGTTAAAGTTTGAAAGATATAACTGTTGTAACTATAATGAAGTTTTCACCATCCCCAAAATGAGGGGGCTGTAAACTTTATATGATCATAACTTTCAGAAAATAAAAGA